CAGTACTGTGGTGCTGGGTGATTACAATTGAGGAAGGTGTTGTACATCTCAGAACAGTATTTAAAAATAAGAGCAGAAGTAACAGAAAACATAACAAAACCCTTGCTTTCCTTTTGAGAGTGATGACAGGCAAAACAGGGACTTGCAGAGAAATAAATGTTTTATAAACCCAAGGCAAGCTTAAAAAGGAATAACCTGAAGGTTGTTAGTGTTGCTAATCTTCTTGAGTGTGAGTTATATTTATGTGGTGAGAAATTGCCTGGAGTTCCAGTCATGTCATCTGTGTATTTTATTTACTCTGGAGAGCTGAGACTGCTGCAGGCCAAAGAATTGACTAAAAGCCCCCTGAACAATAGTTAGAGACATTTTCTTGTTAGCTATAGCATGGAGAGTAAAGTTGTTGCCTGTTTTAGCATGGTTGATCTCTGCACAACCTGCATGACAAAAATCAAGTTCCTGGCTAGACTAAATATATGATAATAGAGTAGAGTCACAGTGTAATAGTGATACTGCCACTGTGTGAAAAATTGGAGAGCTTGCCTTTGTAGCCCAACAAGCGTGTATACTCTCAGCTAATTTGTGAATTTTTAGCTTGATTGAGCGTGGGACAATGCTGTTTCTTGTACACCTTCCAAATCTACTTTGAAAACTAAACGTGCTCTCTAAAGCATGTGGGTTCATATTTTTATGTACTTACTGTCCGTTACCACCATTAGTTTTAAAAGTCAGGGTATGCTGTCTTCACATGCTGCAGCCTGGTAATTCTGAGAAGAGCTGCTGAAGACACCGAAAGCATCAGTAAGACACACCATCATCTGATTTTGACCCACTCAAGTTGCTATTTAGAACTGATTTGAAATAAGTTGTTACATTTTTCTATTGAATTGGTTTTATTTATGCTCTGGTTTTGGTTGGGTTTTTTTTTAAGTATTCTGCCCAGTTCTCTACAGTCTGTCCTCGTCCAGGATTATAAATGGTTTTGGGTTAAACTAGTATTTACACAGGTCTCCAAGAATGCCTTGGGATTTTCTTTTTTCTGAAATGAACTATAATATGAGTTAGTGCAATAGTGTAAGAAAGGGTTGAAAGGACATCATGGTGTGGGATAGGATGTTAGTCGGTGGAAATAATGAAAAAGAAACAGTCGTGGCTGAGGGAAGGGGATTAATAGTGTTGACTTCGCAATTTAACTTGCCTTTTACTTCCTTCTTAACATCTTAAGGAGATACGTATTTATTCTAGGTTGTTCCATATGAAGTCAACAGGAGCAGAATGGTCCCTACAGTTCTAAACTTCAGTGTTTTTTCTGGCTGATTCAAGGTGTAGTTAGCTTCAGTGCCAGTGAATAGACTTAAGGAGCTGCATTCTGGTGTGTACCTGGTTCATACTGAAGTTGTTCTTCACAAACAGAATCATAGGATAGTTAGGGTTGGAAATGACCTTAAGATCATCTAGTTCTATCCTTCCCTCCCACTAAACCGTCTCACCCAAGACTCCATCCAGCCTGGCCTTGCACACTTGTCAGGGATGGAGCATTCACAGCTTCCTTGGGCAACCCGTTCCAGTGCCTCACCACCCTCACAGAACTTCTTCCTTACACCTAGCCTCAGTTTCTCCTGTTTAAGTTTTAACCCGTTACCCCTTGTCATATCACTGCAGTCTGTGGTGAAGAATCCCTCTCCAGCATCCTTGTAGAAACCCTTCAGAAAATAAGTTTCTGTGTATGTATGATATGTGAGAAGAGCAAAATTAGGCCCTGAATATGAGAAATCATTTGAAATAGAATATTCAGTGTCACATGTAAAACATGCAGTACAGTTATATAGTAGTGATAACTGTGGAAGAATTCTAGTTTGCTAGGATGTCTTTAACAGTGTTAAAATAACACCAGGAGAGGTTTCCAAAAGTGACAGTAACAGCAGGTTGCTCTTCTGTAGTTAAGAATTGTTACATTTGCAGGATAAACTTTTAATAGTTGATTATTCAGTAAATCCACTGTTTTGAAAGGTGCAACAGTAGCTTTTTAAAAAAAAAATGCTCAGCAGCAATTTCTAACTGTATGGGATCTTGTTGTACCCATGCTTTTGTTCTCTCTGAGGGTTAGGTGCAGTAAGCAGAGATGCTCAGGCACAACATCCACATTTCTGCAAAGCAGAAACTGTGAGACCTTGTAGAGTGCAAAGAATAGATAAGCTTGCAAATTCAGGGGCTAAAGCTGTTAAATTTATTACATTACTTAATGGAAGTTTTAAGTTCATAATCTGCACTAGAAAATAAATATTTTCAGCTAAGAAAATACTCTTCTGAATTAATTTCCTCAGAATATACATGCTGCATTATTGTTGGTATCTTTTTTTTTTCTCCAAATTTAATCTAATTTTTTTTAATTGTTTTATTCACTTCTTATTTTTCAGGAGTCTTTGAGAAAGCCTTAGTGGTCATGACATTGTTACAAGTGACATAAATTAGCCAGTGGCTCAGGATGATGGATACCCAGAAGACTACAAATGGTTTGCAAGTGATTGGAGAAGGGACTGGTATAGGGAAATCGACACTCCACATGGTGGGGTATTTGGGAAAAGTCAGTTGAAACTTGTTTTACATGTGTGCAAAGTTCATATTTTTCTCTGCTTTGAGAGATTTTTAATTGGTCTTAATTTTGCAAAAACACAAAAATCTCAAAATTATTTTCCACGGAAATCTATTAACAATGGCGAAAGATTACTTTAAGTAAATCTGTGCCTGTGATTTTTTTACTGGCACTATTTTTACTGCTGTTTGCATTCCTATTTAAATTTATTTGTGTTTCAAAGGTCTGAGCTTGTGTTCCCTGGCAATAAGAGTCTGGTGGTTTAGTTCAAATAGAATGAAATATTACGTAATTGTGTTGTTAAAGATGCCTTATGAAATACTTGAATATTTAAATCAAAAAATGAATTAATTTTAAACACTACTGTATGAATATGTATCTTATATTTTTAAAATCTAGTTTATTTTTTAATATTGTGTTAGCTATTACATTTAGAAGTTGCACGTTGGTTTTCTATCTTGATATGTATGTATGTCTTACCTTGTGATAACATATGAAATACATACGCTTATACTGCTTTTTCTTTTATTTTTTTTCAGAACTGTAATCCTGTGGAAGTAGCTGCACATGAGCATTGTCCAGTCTGCAGAGAGAAGGGCCAGATCCAAGTTTTACGGACTTACCGCATTAATTTTCAAGAGTCTGTTTTTCTCTGTGGAAATCCTCTGGTATTACACTAATTAACAGGGGGTTTTGGTTTGCGTATAGACCTTTACCTTCAGTGTTTACACCTCTTTAAGTTCAGTATTTTGGTGATGGGAAGCAGACTGTTGAGAGAAGCCTTTGTTGCCTCTCACTTTTCAGCTGCTGTTTCCACTGTATGTGGGGAGGGTATAGCAATCCCATATGGACTGGTGACTTTAAACTAGTACAGACTAGGCTAGATATGGGTCTCTGAGTTGCTTTTGCCACCCCTCCCTGCTTCTAAATAATATTGAGAAATACAGGGACGTTGCTGGGAAGCTAGGGATCAGGTCAGGAAAGCAAGGCCCAGTTGGAATTCAGTCTGGCCAGGGATGTCAGAGATAACAGTAGAGGCTTCTATAGGTATGTCGCAAACAAAAGACAGAGCAGGGATAATGTGGGGCGTTTCCAGGAGGGAACGAGAGAACTGGCTACCCTGGATTTGGAGAAGGCTGAGGTTCTCAGTGACTTCTTTGCCTCAGTCTTCACCAGCAAGTGCTCTGACCACACCACCCAAATCTTGAAAGGCAAATGCAGGGACTGTGAGAATGAAGACCTTAGACCCATGGTAGAAGAGGATCAGTTTCGAGATTATTTTAGGACCCTGAATGTAAGTCCTTGGGACCTGATGAAATCTGTCCGTGGGTCCTGAAGGAGCTGCCAAATGAAGTTGCTAAGCCCCTGTCCATCGTATGTGAAAAACCATGGCAGTCAGGTGAAGTTCCTGATGACTGGAAAAAGGGAAATATAACCCCCATTTTCAAGAAAGGAAAAATGGAATACCTGGCTAACTGCAGACCAGTCAGTCTCACCTCTGTGCCTTGCAGGGTCATGGAGCAGTTTCTCCTTGAAACCATGGTAGGGCTCATGAAAAACAATGAGGTGGTTGGTGGCAGCCAACATGACTGAATATATCTAATGATTTCACTAAAATGCCACTTTACGGAAGTCCTACATTACATTTTTAAGAGTATGTTTTGTGGGGTTTTTTTAGATCTTGTTCACCTGAAATTGCTTTGTAGATTTCACTGTAACTTTCTTTCTTTCCTTTAGTGTATCTACCCTCTTGGTTATAAACCATTAAACAGCATAATTACTTCTGCTGATTCAGAAAATCATCAAGTTCCACCTACTGATAAGAAAAGGAAATTTTGTGGCATCAGTGACTTTCCTCCTGTTGAATCACAGCCAAAAAAAGCAAGAACTAATAATGTGGCAAATGGTGTGCACAGTAGTAATACAGACCCTGTTGTCAAAAGCTGTCAGAATGGTTTATGTCTTCCCAAGTCAAGCCTACATGACATGTTACAAAATGACCAGCAAAAACCTAGTATCAGTGTGGAGGTCTGCACCCAGAAGGTGAATTTTGACACAACCACAAACACCAACAACTCTAAAGAAAGTTCACCTAATACTTCTAGTCCTGGAGCTCAACTCTTGCCAAATTCTGAACTTTCCTCAACAACATCTGAAATTTTGCTCAAAGGTGATAAAGGTTCCACTAATAACACAGATTTATGTCTTCAGTGGAGAAATCTGCATAACCTTTGTTGGTTAGATTGTATTTTGTCAGCACTAGTACACTTAGAAACATTAACATTTCCTCTAGCAGAAGACTATGATGATGGAAAATGTTTAGTTCAGGAACTCTTAATAAAATATAATCAAGCAACTGTGCTTCTGAATACCTGTAAAAGGAGTAAAGTAAAAGGTGAGTAAATTCAGCTGTTCTTTCTTCATACTCAGACTCATCTGCTACAAATATGTGGAATTTAGTACAGTTCCCTTAAATGTGCCTTCATTCTACTTCAAGTTCACAAAAGAATGATTCGCAACTCATTATCATGAATTTGCAGAGTAGTGTGCTTTATCTATCAGAATCCCAGTAACCTCTTTCTTGGGCAAACATGCACACTTTGAAGGAATTAAACACTAAGTATAACTTGAATTTTTTATTGTCATATCCTCCATACAGAATTTGTGATTTTTTTGTGTAATTGAACCTGACTTTGTTTCCTTCCTATCTGATGGTTAACATATTAGGATGTTGTTCTAATCTTAATCTACAAAGTAATTTCTGTTGTGGCTTATATCCTTGTATAAGTGGGCAGTTGCCTTGTCACACCAAAAATAGTAAAGCTGGGAAGATATCTTGTGTTCTGGCTCCAGCTGCACTCACTGAAGGAATGCTTCCCCTAAAGTCTGCAAGCTGTGCTGTGGGTGATAGCACTTCTAACCTGTTTTAGTCAAAATTGGTCAGACACATTAACCTGGTTCATACCTTCTTGAAAGGGTTTGTGAGTGTTACATGTGCAGCTTAATAGGTTTGAGGACTAACCTCCAAGCTCAGGGGTGGTGATGGGCAACTAGGGGCAACCTTCTGGGCAGCACAGCTGAGTCAGAGGAGGATGTGTCACTCTAATCAACTACTATGGCCTTTGATCAGCTCCTCTACTGTGTATTCAGTTTAAGACTTAAACTAAGATCTGTTTGTCTTAGTCCTCTTGAACTGACCCACTGGTGTCTTAAGTGAAATTCTAAGAGATCATCTATTAGAAAATTAATACTGATCTCTAGTTAGTCAGGGATGGAACCAGAGCCTTTCGTTCAGTTCCATTTGCAATGTAGCCTGGGGCAGGTGACCCATGGCTTGTTTCTTGCTTTCATAAATCCTTTGTGTTTCTGTTTTAAAAACATGTAGAAAAGGATAGGCAATAATTTAATAAATAGGAGCTGTAAAGCAGAGCTGACGGAATTAGTCAAAAGGTATTATTGGTGGCATCCGTGTGTCCAAACTAGCAAAAGGATTCAGTGAGGATTACAGCTGACAAACCAACAGGTAAGGATGGGCTTTACTTCCTACAGCCTTTATATTCAGGGGCTGTTCTCAGCTGTTTTTTTTTACCTTCTCTTGGCCATCCATTGTGCTCCATGACAGCTGCATATTCTTTTAGAGATATTTTATTCTGTCTATTGCTCATGGAGAAGTTCTGGATACAAATGACACGTTACATTGGGTCCAAGGTTCACAGATTAGCATGGGAAGAGTTACATGGTAGGGATCCTTCAGCAACTGCATCTATGTAAGGGCAGATGCATTGACACTGCTTGTGCAGTGCTGACACATTTACATTTATGTTAGAATTTGCTTTATGGAATAGCACTAAAGGCATAAAATAAAACAGGATATAAATAATTTCAGTTTAAATTCCATCCACAGCTTCATGCCATAAGGTCTTTCCCCTGAGTCTCCAAATGATCCTAAATTCTGTAGCTTTTGGGGAAGCTGGGAACGGTATTGGAACCAAACTTTGCAGCTGAAGATCATCCTGCTTAATTTCTAATATCTGATTGCAGAAACAGTTCTACACCTAGCAGTGGATCTCTTCTGCAATTTTGATCAAATTTTGAAGAAGTCATTTAAATGTTAATAGCTGCTTATATAAAAATTAATGGTATCTTTATCAAATTGGGCCAAATGTACCTAATATGGATTTGGATCTTACTTCAGGCTCTGGTTTGAAAATGTTAATCAGTGATAAAAATGACTTACAATAAATTTTTTTGTGAATTCCAATAATAATGCCTGGGTACACAACCATCAAGTAAATGGAATTTCTGTTATCTTAATCTGAAAGAGGACTGAGCCATTAAACTGGCCTAAATCATGAGGAAACATGTAAGACCCCTCATGAAAGTGTTTGCAGCTGTGTTCTTCCACCACATGTTGCATGGGGATTCCATTATAGTAACTTGGAGCTATTAGTGTCACAATATTGCCATCATTACATGTTCAAAATATGAGTCACATCCGCAGCACTCCTGAATGTTCTAATATCGTAAATGTGTGTAGTGTTTTACTTTCAGTTCTGGTTTCTAAGCCTTTAGAGGGGAAACTGACTGTCCCAATAGAGTGTGAAATTTTAAGGGTCACATCCGGCCTGGAGTAGTAATACAGCCTCCTTCCTCTTGGCCACTCCCAGGGATGCCATTTACCTTCTCCTGCCAAGGTGAAGAGTTTTTTCTCTAAGCTCCTGTGTCTCTTAGCCTCATCACTGCTGCCTGCTGCTTTTCACCACTTTCTAATCTTCGTCTTTTCTCCCCATCTCATTATTTATTTCCTGTGTGCATCTTTTCTGCCTGTGGTCCTCGTTTGATGTGAGAGGTGGCAGTTATCCCATTTCCTCCTGGTGAACTGTAGAGAATGGCACCTCCCTTTCTAGCTTTAGCTGTTTTAAATAATAAGGTGGTCTTTCTGAGTGAGGAGCAGCTAATGAATTGTTAGCCCTTCATAATGGTATGTGGTGTTACTTCTCCCAAGTAACAAGTGCTAGGACAAGAGGAAATGGCCTCAAGCTGTGCCAAGGGAGGTTTAGACTGGGTATTAGGGAAAATTTCTTCACTGAGAGGGTGCTAAGGCATTGGAACAGGCTGCCCAGGGAAGTGGTGGAGTCACCATCCCTGGAAGTGTTCAAAAAATGTGTAGATGAGGCCCTTAGTGACCTGGTTTAGTGGTGGTCTTGGCAGTGCTGGGGTAATGGTTGGACTTGATGATCTTAAAGGTCTTTTCCAACCTAGTTGGTTCTACGATTTATTTTTTTTTTTCTTTCAATAGACATTTCAGGATAAGTGTGTTTAAATATATAAAATACAGTCCCAGAAGAGCATTAGAGAACTTTAAGAAGGTCATATCTTTCCTGGGAAAAATAATAGGTGTAGCAAAAATCATTTCATCTACCTTGTGGCATAGAATACATACTCTATTACAGGGCGAGGGGGTGGTGGTCCAGAAATATTCTGAAGTAGTTCATATATTCTGCTTTCCAGGAATCTTCGCATTTCCAGGAACTGCTGGAAAACAAAGTAGTTTGTTTGGGCAACAGTGGATAGGTGATTGAATGAAAATTGTTGTGGAGAATAGGTGCAGTGTTCATTCTGCTTCTCTGTGCAGTTTTTAAGCCTCTTTTACATAAGCTGTTTTTAAAAAGAATTAAAAGCCATAGAGCAGCAAGAAACTTTTTTACCTTTTTTATATGCATAGATTTTGTAAGGAGTAAATAGTCTTAGCAGCTGCTCTAAATCCTTCAATTTGTACAAGTTGTGATCATGATTGTGTAGTAGAAGTTACATTCCTGCTTGTGCTTAAAGAATGTGTTTATGTAGAAACAGCATGTTTTATTATGAAGTGTGTAGCATTCAAAAGCATGTAAGCAAATTTCCACACTTTTGATCTTAATGTTTAGGGTTTAAAATCATCTTTTAATCTCTGAATCTCCAGGGTTACACTGTCATTGAATCATAGAATGGTTTAGGTAGGAAAGGGCCTTAAGATCATCTAGTTCCAGCCCCCTGCCATGGGCAGGGACACCTTCCACTATATCCTTGCATGTTGTTAGTATCTAACTGTTGGTGCACACTAAGCCGTAATTAAGTCAGGTCAAGTATAATTTCTGGTTAGCAGACTGCAGTAAAGTGTGAATAACTTGTGTAAATTCTTCTATAATTTTCCAGTCGGTTAATACCAGACACTGGCTGTTTTACCAGCAGTTTCAAGCAAGTATGCGTCAATATGAAAGGCATTAGCTGGCAGAGAATGAGTGCATGTTAGGGGTACATATGTGTGTGAAAGGGTGGGGGTGTTACACATAAATACATGATGACATTACGTATTTTTTTCCTTAGATGTTCTTCCAAAAGCAGAATCTCATCTCAATGAAATCAGAAACAGAATGTTTGCACAGCTTCAGACTCGGCTTAAATGTGAAGTTGGTAAGTAATTAGTGCAGCATCTCTTTATTTACTTTCCAGAAACTCTCCATATAATACCTTGTATATCAGTACATAAAAATATGTATGTACATACTAATGTAAGGCAATTTTCACGTACCTCATTCTTACTAGTGACATACTTTACAGTGTGATCAGCTGTTTTGAATGGTTTTGACTTTCGAGAGAGCATAATCTTATCTTTGTAGCTATGCTTTACTCAAGAAATTGTCATTGAGAACAACCTAATAACATGGATCAGTCTCTTTGCTGTGAGGATTAGAAATATAGCCTTGAATAACTGCAATGAAAATAATAGTAATAAGCTTATTTTCTTCCTTTTTTGAAGTACTGGAAGCTGATTTCAAATAGTCAGTGACTGTTTCTTCTGTCCCATCTTTGCAGGTAAGAAGGAGAGTCCAGTGTTTGCACTGCCTCTGCTCTTACAACTGGATCAACAAGCTGAGAAACTATTCTTGCATTCATTTTCATGGAAGTTTGAATGTGTATGTTGTGGCTACAAATACCAGAACCGGTGAGGTTTTTATCTAAGTAGCTTCTATAGAACTGTTCTGTTGTTTTAAAATCTGCATATAATAGTTGATTTTCTTCATATCTCCAGATCTCACCAACAGCTTAAACTTGTTGGTGAAGTTTTAAGTGCTTTAAGATCTACTTTTTTAAGTTAGTGTCTAGGGCAACCATATTGTCACTTAAAAAAGAAATAATAGGTAATTTTGTGAGTCCCTGGCCATACTCTGAGATTTTGCTGAGAATTGTTGTGGTTCTAACAAATATAAGCCTAGTACACTTTTGCTATTGAGGAATGTCTGTAATACTCATTTGGATTACAAAGAATCAGAGATTCTCTCACATGAATTATCTATTCTAAAATAGTATTACAGGGAATTAATTTCTTGAGAATTTATTTACTTCTGCATAGCTGAAGGTACAAGCTAGTAACTTAAGCTCCTTTAAAGTCAGCGGGAAGAGAGACACCTTCAGAAGACAGCTCACAACTTGAAAAATACCTGTTTCTCTCCGCTGTCTTAGGTTTATACAATAGAATTCTAGATCCACAAGTGAGATGAGATTAATGCTGTTAGTTACACTGCCAGCTAATGTATGGTCATGGTTAATAGGGTGTGTTCAAAGGTCTTTGTTACGTGCTCTGGTTGTTTTTTCTTTAAAGTTGAAAAACTAGGTTAGGTTGAATATAAAGGAAGTCCTTTCTGTAGCTAATGAATGAATATGCTGTTATGTCACTTTAATATCCTGTACATTGTATTTTTATACAATGTAACTTCTGTGTAATCTTTGCTGCCAGTGTAGTGTTTTTTGAAAACAAGACCTTGTGTAAGATGGATTGTGAGGTAATTTGTTGCCTCTTCCTCTCTCCTTGAGATTCTACATTAGCCAGTAAATTGCGCAGAACCTGGTACAAGGTCTGTCTTCTGTTGGAAAGGAAATGGACATAACATGCTTAGGGGGAAAGAGCAAATACTGTGAAACTGAAGGCCACAGAGCTCCTGAAAACAAGTGGTGACTTTTGGAATTCACACAAATGGCATGAATATGAATAGAATTTGGCTTTGCCTTAATATTTTTATAACTTTTTTCTCCTAATGTGTGTATTTATTGTGTTCTGATCAACAACTCATCTTAACACTTTTTTTTCTTTTTCTTTTTTTACTCTGTGTCTGTATCCAGATTAAGGAAAACACTAACAACATTCACAAATATAATCCCTGATTGGCACCCACTTAATGCTATTCATGTTGGACCATGTAATAACTGTAGTGATAGATCTCAAAGAAGACAGATGATTTTGGAAAAGTAAGTTTGAATACATGAACTTGAAAGTAAAATACATAAAATGCTGAGAATTTACTGAACATGTCACTTTTAAACCCAAACTATTATCTTGGGTTTACAGAGGTTCTAAACATTAAATTCTGATAAATACTCACTTTTTAAGATTATAGATAATTCTTAAATTCTGAAATGACAAACTGTTTAATAAACATGAAACAGAGAGCAGTTTTTAACATGCTGACCAGCGCATGTGTTTGAGCCAGGTCATAAATACTTACTTCCAAGTAGTAAATATAGACAACTGATATCCAGTGTCAGCCATTTCACCCCCCCTGCCATTGGTGGATAAAAATGTTGTTTGATCGTCCATTTACAAGTTGGACTGCAGAACAACCTTTCCTACTGTGGTTATGGCACATTTGTGTCCTATTTTTTTCACATTTTCCCCACTCCCCAAATCCTTTACGTGGTACTGTTTTTTCCCCCCAGTCCATAACAAAATGGAATATACGGTTGGGGTATTCTTACCCTTTGACTACTGTGCGATCTGAAGAGTCCTGTGTGGGAGTAGAATAGAAAGGGCAGGACTCTTTGAGACACTTTTTCATGAGAAACTTTTGCCACTCTTTTGTTAATATAAACTGATTCTTTATTGTTTCTTTATTAGAGTACCCTCAATATTAATGTTACATTTCGTAGAAGGCTTGCCACATAACAACCTGGAGAACTATTCATTTCAGTTTGAAGAAAACACCTACAAAATAACATCTGTTGTTCAGTATCAAACAGATAAGCAACACTTCATAACCTGGTCTTTGAATTCTGATGGTAAGAACCGTAAATTCTGTTGTAATACTTCATGAGTCTACATCAAATACTATTTTAGGGGTTACTGCAATACTCTCAACAGTCTGTATATAAGAATGAGGATTTGTTTTGTCTGGATTCCAAACTTCATATTAAAATTTTGTGAATAATTGTGGGAACTTTGTTACTCAGGGGGAAAGTTTCAGTTTGCTTTAACTGAAAAAGTGTCTTGTCCTACACTGTACTCGCTGGCAAAAGTTATTTGGGTAAAGCTGTTTTCCTTGATAACTTTGTAAAAGTTAAAAAATACAGTGTGAGCACAGCTGTGGGACATACAGTATTGATTAGTTTGAAGTCAGTTACTAATCCATTCTTGGCTGAAAGCAGAAGAACATACGGAACTACCAGCATTAATTAAGTTTCTTTTCATTTCTGAACTTCATTGCATCTGAGGGGTGGGAGGTACAAATCTATGTTAGAAATGTGACTAATGGTGTGATGGTTGTGCCATTGACAGGAATGCCATAATCAGAGAAGAAGAAAAGTTGATATTTTGATTCTCATGCTTCCATAAAGGGAATGGAGTGCAGTCTTATCAAGTGTGATCACATGAAAATTGTCTAAATCACAGTGCCAGAGTTTAAGATGTAGGGAGAGGAAGCAGCTGGGAAGTGCCTAGTTAGGAACATAGTATGCATCCTATATATCTATTTTTAAATTCTTAAAGCTGTAAAATATTTGCTCATGATCTATTAACAGTTTGCAGAAGATGATGCAGATTATTAGATGAGCAATTTATCTTTAAATCCTGTGCCTCCCACCCAGCCAATGTAAAAGCCTGCATAGAAACATTATTTGAGAGCTGGCTCTTCTCTCAGACCTGTGCAGGTGTTTTCAGACAAGATGTCAGCATCATTAGCTTAGATAAAAACAGCCCCTTAGCTTACTTTTTCTGTGTTGACCTGCTCTGACCTGTAATAATATTGCTGCAAATTCTGCTTGTGTTTGATCTTTTTCCAGTGGAAATCTCCCAGTTTTCTCTGATGTAATAAAGAATGGAGAAAACCTTTATTTTCTGCTTGCCAGGGGAATGGGGTAATACAAATATTTGGCAAGTGTCTGAGGATAGTGACTTCAATTTTAAGTCTTTGAGGCTCTACACTGGTTGCTATTGTATTTTGCAGGAAGTTGGCTTGAATGTGATGATTTAAAGGGGCCATATTGCAAGAGGCATATAAGTTTTGAAGTTCCTCCTTCAGAGATTCATATTGCTATCTGGGAAAGGAAAACATCACAGGTGCCAGAAGAAGCGAATAGAAATATTGAAGATTTTCCTTTTAATAATGTACAGTCAAATTCCACAGTGTTGCACTGTGGTTTTGATAACACTGTAGAAAAAACACATGCAGAACATCTCAAAGAGGATTCTGCAAGAAATCCAGATGAGAAACAGCATCAGATAGCTGAGGATGAAAGTATTGTGCCAGATTTTCTAAACCATGAGGAACATGATGGGCTTGCAACACTGATGCTTGAAGAAATTCAAGTTAACTCAGAAGGTAAATCGCTGCTGAATGGACAAGTGGTGGGAAATAACCCTGTTGTTGAAATGGGCACAACCCAAAAGCAAGAATTAGATCTTTCACCTAACACTCTGTGTACAGGAGGGTTTGCTGGAACTAGGCTAGCTATGAGCAATAAATGCACGTTATATGAAGATTCCAGCATCTGCTTATCTCTAGAAAAGTTGAACCCAACAAATATTACTCCTCCTGTGCCCAAAACCCACCATCCTGACCTGTCTGACTCACTTGCTCAAAGAACAGATGGCAGAACTAATTTGCATGGAGGATTAAATTCAGAACTACAGCTAAACAAGAAGTT